CAAACCGTCATTGGTTAAAATCGGATATCTCCTAATATTAAATTGAAATTGAATTGTTTTACTTGACTGCAAGTTAAACTTCCTCATTTTCAGCGTTTTGTGATTCCATAGAATGTTAATACATTAAACCAATTTCCACATACAAACATTGTTGGCCTGATACTTTTGATACTAAAAAATGCACGTTTCTTTTTCTCAAGTGGCAGACAAAGCTTCCATTCGTTTTTTAATTAGATGTCCTATTTTTTCTAGCATTCGACTATTAATAATGGACTGCTTTTCACTTGTATTTAAACTTATAATAACATGTACATATTCTCGGATAGAAAAAGTTTTAAACGCGCTTCTAATTTAGGAATTTACTACAAGATGTTTTTTCAAACAGAGTGCCTCGCTTACAAAAGGCAATCAAACTTAACATTCGGTAAATGCAATTTTGATTCAGATATTCGAATTCTTACTTCTCGGAAATTCCATGAGTTGTTTTACATCAGCAACTAAGCAAACAAAGGTTTGCAATCGCTTTATGGTTTTGGCTTTAATTTTAGAACAAGTCGTCTCAGACAAACGTTACTTAAATGTAATTCACGTCAATAAAAAGTTTCTTGAAAATCGTAATTTTTAATGACAGGCGGACGTTAGTACACTTGATTGAGTTGATTTATCAGAAACGAATTAAGATTGAGTAAGATGAAATTCAAATCAAACCTAAAATTTGAAGACAGCCAGATCTGGACCTGAAGAAACGAACTTTCCAAGAAGACTGAAAGCTGCTATTCTTCAAAAATTATTTATTTTTTAATTTGTTGTCAACAAATTGTAAGAGGGTAAAACTCAGTCAGACTGTCGAGTCTCGCGAGCTTATTAAATATTTTTTGAAGAGCGAAAGTGGAAACTTTCAGTAACTTTTTTATACGGTAACTTTGCGGGCACTTTTTTTGAAACTAAGTTTGCAAGTAACAACATTCCGTCTTGATTCTATTTGAAAAGTCAATATTTTTCCAAGGAATTTCAAAATGATAAACCAAAGCATTCAATTGAATAAGTCCTAGACACTAAATATGATGAAAGATTTGAAAAAAAAACACACTTATTGACATTTTTCTCTTAAAGTAGTTATGGATAAGCTAATTAAATAAAACGCATGATTGAGAATCACAAAAAACATTTTGTTAACAAAATATAACAATCATAATAAAAGAAAAATAATTTTACATAAACGTATTAATGACAATTGGTCATTTGGCTACTTGTAACTTGTTCACTGCCGATTTCAAGCTATTGTTCATCCGAGAGGTTTTTAACAATTTTCTTCGCGTGATTAAAGGGGAACAAACTCAGTGAGACTACAAATGTTAAATAAGTTGAAGTGAATTTGAAGAAATATTCCATTTTAAGTTGAACAACAATTAACTAAACCGACGTAACATGTTAAATTTTTCAATGAATACTGTCTGAACCTTTAAAAGCAAAATTCTTCATTAATTATAATTTAACCAGACAATAACAAACTTCAATTTATTGTCGTTTCTCAAATCTCAATGTGCAAATAGTGCCGCAAAAGGGAGAAATATAGTTATGATAATTTTTCTGCTGAATAATTTTTTTCTAATTTGGAGTCAACATGCTTATTGATATTAAAAATGTAGCAAAATATGCAATTCACCATTCTGAAAGCTCACATTGTTGGTATTTTGTTATGCCACGTGCCTTGCAAACAGTCCATAAAAACATATTTTTTAACATAAACGGGATTTTAAAACTTTTGAAAAGTTTTATGAAATGTACACTAGTTTGTTTATTAAATAAATTGTGTTACAAATAGTTAGCGCTATTTAGAAATAATCGGGCCATTAGAAATTAGTGATAAGTACATGCAAGAGGATAACTGGATTTCCGGCCAAACGTGCTCTTCATTGCCTTATTTATGCAACGAGTTAGACGTGAGCCATGTTTGAATTTCCTTTGATTTTTCCGAAATAATGCTAGACTAAGCAAGTAGGAAAACCTTGAAATTGAATTGTATTGCCGATAAATAGACCGAGCAATGTAATTATTTATAGGCAAACGAACTACTGTTTAACAGCATTTTCCTCCAACAAAGTATTATATTTCATCGTAAACAGAAAAACCTTAAGTTCAACGATTCAAGGCGACGTAACATTATTTGGTTCAAGGGTAATCCGATTTATCACTATCGATAAATGCAAATAAACCAAATGTATTACTTACTTGAGGTGTCACAATACATAATTTTCACTATTATTGTAGTAGCTTTCGATCTTAAAGTGGCGACAGTTAGAAGCAATTATGGCTTACGGTCAATAGGTCAAGCGATTAATTAGGAAGTAGTTTGACTCTCGATAAACCCAGTAAATTGTTTGGAACAATTTAATAATTGTTATTGTATAATACAGGAAACGATTTCAATGGGGATATGTTGCTGTCGTTTTTGCGATATTGAAAATGTGTAGATTGTATAATACCGACGTGAAGAATTAAGTAACTTGGTTGAAAAACGACATTTTAATATATGAAATAGATTCGTCCAGCTGAGAATATGCTTATTTATTAAAAATATGCCAGTTCCCTGTTGGTGTTTAATATTTCCTTTCAAAATATACAGATCGTTCACAATTGTGAAACTTTTGTAGAAACAATTTACAAAGGGAGTTGAAATCAATTCTAGAATCCCACAATGGTCTAATATACAGTGTATTTTTTTTAAAGCAAAACTTTTAGTTTTCAGCTTGTTGTAACTATTAGCTATACAGGCTGATTCAGCCATCCCTATTTTAACTTCAACTTGCACTTGAAGCTTTCATAAAAAAATGTGAACAAAACAACACAAAAAAATTATTTAAAAAATCATAGAAAATCACCCAGTAACCCTACATGGACTTATATTAGTGTAAATAATTCGAAAACGAAAACAGATAAGCAAAAACTGCAAGAGATCAGAAAATTCTTAAATTGAACAGCAAATGCAAAAATGTGTTCCGTCGAAGTCAGTAGTGCATCACAAAAAAGTTCGTGGGGGTAAAAGACGGTATGTCTTTAAAATGAGCACCCTGTAGATTTTGACAACCAGTCGCCTTACCTTCGGGTAAAGGGTCTAAACATTAGCCTACGTTAAAAATTTCAGCGAAATATCTCATAAACTGTAGGAGTTAAAGAAAAACTCCCAAAATTTTTTTGAAATTTTTATACCCCGCGTCTTGTTGGGATCTGAGAAAAAAACTTAAATAGAAGCTCGATTTGTTTTGAGCTCCTCTACACGCCCCTGGTCTGTGTTCATAAGGTTGTAATTCACCCTATATATTGAATAATTTTAGGTTTATTAAGAAATCGCGTAGTAAATCGAAGAGAATCAGTCCGATTGCCAATGTGAACGTCTCACCTAAAGTTCGAAAAGTAAAAAAATATGTTGTAGTTTATATTCATGGCTTTATAATTTATTTTTTTTTAGTTTAAAGGTGCAATTCAGTCTATTCTTCTAGTTCTAAGGTAACCAACATTGATGAGATGAATTCGGCAAGTAGATTAACATAAATTACATATTACTTTAAGCAAAAGTGAAGTTAAATAAAGATCAAATAAAGACGAATATAAATGGAGGTGTAACGGATCAAATACTTTTTTAATTATTTAAACAAATACGGAAATAAATAAAGGAGAAATTATATCTGGAAATTCAATTCGAAAATTATAATTGAGAACAGTCGAAAAATAAATCAAATTAAATAAAATACGCTTGTGGAAGATAGATACAAACCGGATGCAATAATTTACGAATTTTGAGGAAGATGCGCAAATCACGAAGTGAACGCGTGATTAACACGTTACAAGAGTCTAATTGATTCAAATTAATAAAGAAAGATCTTAAATTTCAAACATAATAACGGAAGTAAATATTGAATGCTATTTATGAAACAGTAAACAGCAAGAGTTGGTGCAAGTACCTACAGAATTATCTGTATTTGTATCACGAAAATAATCGCTTTATTTTCCTCTTTTTTTTTGAGTTCTCCTCAGTTCGGCTTAGTTTCACAGTGAAAACTCATATTTTAAAGTGATGCTTCACTAATTCCTCATTTCTTTTGCTAGTTTCATCATGATTTGTAGCTTTTCTTCAGATATTTACTTGATAAAAAAAATGTGTCTGCTTCAATGTACACTACATAATTTTTAATTTCAATTAATTGAAAACAAAAATCGTGTTCGGAATTTTGATTCAATGTTTGTGACTATGTTTTTACGTTTCCTAGTTGTTTCAAAGTGTCCTCGAGTAAATATGTTATTTTCCCTTACTTTTTAATTGCTATTTCTTCCGATTTAAATCAATTTGTTCCGTTGGTCCTAAACCGAAATTATATACATTTACTTGGCGTAATTTGAACAATTGCAATAGCATTTCTTGCTATCGGAAAGTGTACCTAAGGCTTTTAAATCACTGTTTTTGCTGCCACACTCCGTGAAAGCAAATAGGGGAGAAACAAAGCATAAAAAACAGATAATGTATGTAAAATATCTCAAAAATTTTGTAAACTCTTTAGTCTCGAAGAATATTTCAGACTGAACCAAACAATCCGGAAACAGAAAAATGAGCAAAACCACGTTTATTAGAGTGTGACCAAGTCACGATCTACAAATATTTGACTTTAATCTTTAATCCAAGCTAAAACAGTCATAAACGAATGTTTCTTTTGGCCGCATACCTAAAATAACTGTAACTGATATTCGTCTCGATTAATTTGAAATATAATAAGAAATAAAGTACTGGTAATAAAAGTGCTGATAATTGATCCATTTTCCACATGAATCGACAAACGGAATTCTAGTTGTAGCTGTTTCTTTCATATGCTTTTAATTACTATTTAATCTTATTATTTTTAATGATTTATTAATTTTACATCTGCCACTTACAAGTAAATAATAATTATTTGTTTGATGCTATGATTTCAAGGTAACAAATGATTTCTAGTGGTTATTTGTTTCAGTACAGCAGGCCAAACCAGCCTATTCAAATCATCCCACTGTGATCAGAGCGATAAGTCATATTTGTCCTCAAAATTGGATGTCACTGGGTAATCAGTGCTATCTCTTCAGCAAAGAGAGGGTGACATGGTCAGATGCACATTTCAATTGCGGTCAGATTAATGCCAAACTAGTCATGATTCGCTCGAAAGTCCAAGACCAAAAGCTGAGGATATTTCTCAATGGATTCACAGGTAAAAAGAAAACTACTAATCAACCAAGGCATTTGTCTTTCAAACTGCTAAAATATTAATATCAAGTGGTAAAGGATGTTCGTTGAGGTGTTTCAATATTGTCTCTCATGTTAGATTTTAGTTTTGGGGCGATTTTTTACTGTTACTTTACATTAATCACAAATAACATTGACTATACTTAAGGCTGAAACCACTCTGTCCCCCTTTCAGAGACCCGTTAATGCTTAAATATAGCCGAAACTTTGGCTTAACATACAATGTTTTTGGCGCTATAAACCGAAACATCTCAACGAACATATTTCACCATCTATTATCCACTTCCTTCGCTTTCTGTTTAATTATCTACTGTCATAAAATACCATGTTTTCTACCGAACGAAAAAATATTTGAGCCTACCGTTTATTTTCAATATTTTTTGTTTGTATAGATTTTTCAAAATCTCTGATATTGGGATATTTTCATATCGATTTTAATTTTTTTCGATAAAGCAACTACTCAGAATAAGTCATGGATTAATATTTTCTGTTGATTTCTCAAAGTTCCTTGCTTAGAGTGAAAGTGGTTAGAGCTGAAAATACTATTTCAATTGTGTTTAGTTCGGCGGTACATTGGTGTTATATATGGTCAAAATATCACTCTTAAACTCTGGCAATTTATCTTTGAATATTTTTTTTTCACATTTTACGCAAAGTTTATAAGGCATAGTTTCCTAAGCCAGGTCTAGAAGTTTAGTTCTTAATTATTTTAAAATTTATTTCCGGTGCAAATATCTCCGGTTTAGACGAAATTAATTGAAAATAAAACCAGCATTCATAGGAGAAAGAAAAAAGCTTCCAGATATCCACAAGGATATAAAAAGTTTCAAGTAATTTCAATGCGGGTGTGGCTAAAAGTAGGTAAGATAAAAGCAAAGTTCACACTTTACATTTGACAAGAATAGGTGCCAATATTAAATATTCGATAAGATAATGTATGTCTAATGCCTATTACATAATTAATGTTGGTTTTTTTATTAGAGAAACAAGAACGTTGGATTGGCGGTAGGTACAATGTGAAAACAGGTGAATGGATTTGGGCATTGAATGGAAAACCATTGAAATATAATGGATTCATTAAAGAACCCATTCTTAATGCAACTGGCTCGATAGATTGGCAAGCAATAATAATGGACCCACAATATGGATATCGGTAAGTTTGACGATTTAAAAACTAACTTACCAAACCAAAATATTTTTGTTGAGAAGTTGGCCATTTTACGCTATTATAACTAATCAATATTCACTTATGCACCATTTTTATTTAATTTTCTTCATGTCTTCATTTTCTTATTTTTGTTCATCTCATCGCTAGAGGTTGATTTGATTTCCGTTGGTGTTTGAATTTTAGATTTAAGTTTTTCGTTAATCACATTGGAATTTTTCTTGGGAGTTTTTGGGATATTTTCTGTATTCAATGAAGTTTGAAACGCAATCGCGTTTCCATCACTCATGCTTGTTTCAGTCGTAAAAACGTTGTACGCTATTTGAGTTTCTGGTCAGGGCTTTTAGTTTTTTTGCACCCATAGCTATCTCATTGTGCACAATTTTAGCTTAATTTTTGAGTTCGTATGGCAGTAGCCGGGGAGTAAGATTTAAAAAATTAAATAGTAATATTAAAAGCTAATATTGCTGTATAAAAAGTATTATTTCAAATACTTAATAATGACCTTTTTACTTCCTGCGGTAAATCGTCGCATGCTGTGTGCTACATAGTCAGAAAGTTTACCAGCCATCTATCACCCGCTTTGAATGCATCCTCATGCTAGGAATAATTCCAAAATAAGGAACATTCATTTAAAGTGTAAACTTTAAGGTGGAGCTCTCGAAATCAACTAGAAAGACATTTCTACATTTGCCAAGTGAAAGGTCGAGCAGTTAAACGACTAAACTACTCAAAACGGCCATCGGCAACAATAGAAATATCCCCTGATCGACGCTTCCAAAAAAGAATCTACTCAAACTCCAGACTGAAAAGCCGAAGCAGTAGAAGAGCAAATCGCAACAAAAGAACGAGGAGATGTTCCCGATTATCCACCTGCTAACTTTCAGCAAGCAACACGGAAAACAAAAATAGTTGAGCTAATTTATGTTGATCATTTGCACTGCTGTTGAAAAAAAACGTATAAATCTATTCAAAATAGAATTGTATTCTTAATCGTCTTAACTGATAAAAGTCAAAGATGCTTGCTGAAGGAATACCGGAATGGTTTTAAATTGTGAGGATCAACATATATTTTTTATGTTACATTATTAAAATGTGAATTCTTGCATTTACAATCTGTGTTCGTTAACTGCCATGCATACATATGAAATATGAACCTTTAATATAGATTTATTTAGTTATTTGTAGAAATAAACGTGCGATAATTCATGTTCATTAAGTTATATATATTTATTACTTGCGGCTTAAGTGTATCTGACACTGTAAAAATGCGTTTGTATAACTATAAATATTTAATATAGTGGTGCTTAATAAACAGTAGTGAATAAGTTCTAATTTAAAGAAATCTACATTTTTCTTTCAGATACGTTGCTAGTGAGGAATTTGCTTTGTCTGCTAACAATACGGGTTTGACTTCAAACATGCCAAGGGTAAGTCCAGATTATGCTTCCAAATTATTTAATTTTTGAAATTATTTTAAAGTGAATGGAGATGCGATACTCTTTTGCACAATTGCGGAGGTTTCAAATACGGAAACTTTAGTTGCCTTCTGATTTGCCCAAATTGAATACTGTGTTAGAGAACTCATTGTTTTCCCAATACATTTTTCTATTGCGAAAAAATAACTGAATTCGTAAAAAGTAGATTACGATGTTTAGGGTGTCTTAAGTAAGAAGGTTTTGCAATATCAGTTTTTCCGTAAATACTTCGTTATTGACGGTTCTGACGCCAAAACAAACGCTTTATGTGTATAATTTCTAGATGTTTGAATCATTACAGTTAATTTCCAGATAGCACAAAATATTACATACATTTTTTAATTAAAAAAAATATTTGTTTTTAAAATTTAATTAGCATGAAACAAAAAAATTAATAATAATTTTTCTTAATACATAATACTTTTGGTACCTATATATAACACCATTAACAGTTTCTAATATATTATTTCATATCAGTATTAAATTATTTCAATTTTAGCTACTGAAAATCGTTTTTTTGGTAGTAGGGGACGTCCCAGCTGCCCAACTTTCTTAAAATGTTCTTTTGTTGAACTATTAAAAATGTCAATATAAGTAAATGTCATACACGTAAAACTCCGAATTATTCCTTATTGTCTGAAATTTAAATCAACAGGAAATCGGTAGGTGCGTGGAATATTGAATCTTATAGAAGCAGCCTTAAGACCTTCAAATACAGCGTGTACTGCTTGTTATATATATAGCCCTTCTTCTCGGTTTTATGCTTTTTCTTGGGATGTTGCCTTACTCTTTATTAAACTATAAAATAACAAAATATATAACTTGCTACTCACCAAAATACACTTAAGATACCACCCCTTGAAGCAGTTACTAATTTTAAACGTAGTTTATAATAAAGTGGCCACATTTTCATGGACACCAAGCGGGACAAATCGGATGAAATGAGAATTACAATTTAGTTATTTAGGTATAGTTTGATGATAATTTTTAATCAAATTAATTTTGTTATTTATTTTGATCACAATTTTTAATCAAATTAATTTTTTTATTTAAAAAAATTGTCGGTCAAATTTACGGTCATATAGTTGATCAGAATGAATAATTTGCAATAGATTCGGATCATTTATTAAAATGTCGTGAAATATTTCACATGAATTGGTCAAATAGTTTATACTTAATATAGATTTTAAAGTTTTAATGTTATCCATATTTTATTAATACTAGAAAGACACGTTCTGTTGCTGCATTTGCGAATGTACAATTATTATTCTGTTTAAAATGAAGGAATAATCCCGCCTATTTTTTGTCTGTTGCTAATTTTCCAGACAAGAAACATTTAATTTTTTATCTGTGACATATCTTTTCACCAATGACAATTCATGAAAAAGATCATTTTTGCAAATATAATTTTTCGGGTGGTTTTGGAAATGGTTACTAATATAAGATACAGACATAAGATTTTTCCACATATTACCATAAGATCTCCTGTTTTAATGTCACCCAACGAACATTTTTAATAACTTCGAATTGAACTGTCCATTTATTATTGTTATTAGTTATTATAAACATTTTTGGCATGTTTCAGAAAATCAGGTCGTTTAATGGCAACTTGTTCTTCCAACCTAGTGATATTTTTTCGAATAATTAAACCAATCTAATCGTTATCAATTATTTCTCGTAATTTTGCTATTAAATATTTGATTTGACTCTTCTGTAAACGAAATTTTGTCACCTTGTGAAATAATGTAGCTTGGTTGTGGATGTGTCGTTTTCAAAAAGATCTGCAATATTCTTGGACATTTATCTTCTGTGTTCTGATAAAAAGTATGATTTTAATGGTTCGTATATGTATTCGTTTGTATTCGATTTCTGCGCTTTCACAAAAATCATTCAAACTTGCAACACACACAGTATATATATAAAAATACACACAATTTTTGTAATAATGTTTTCAACATCAACTGTAAGTAAGTCAGATGCTGTCTGAATAGTATTATATAGAATCTGCGCTACACAACCCACTCCAATAATTTTTTGGTTCAAATGTCCGCTAAGATCCGTAAAAGCGTTATTGATGCCTCTTCTAGCTTTTCCATCAAAATTTGCGTTAGAGTTCTCGGCACAATAAGCAATAATTTTACTGTTAAATTGTTTTTTGTTAAAATAGTACTTATTGAATCGAAAGTTGTTTGTGACGTTTCACCCACAAACAAATAAAATCCAATGTTCTTAATTTAATTCCTATTTCTGGATCAAAAGTCCTAACAATTGTGGGAACTGATTTTAAATCATTGTGGTTGCCATCGAATATGGTGAAAAAACATTACAAATAATTGCTTCGGTTTTTGTCTTTGCACATGCAATTTTTTTAATTGAAATTATCTGCTTACCTCTTCATTAAATACACATTCTCTTTTTTAACTAAAAAATGCTACAAATGCTAAAAAGCAAGTATTAAATATTACCTTATTGGCGGTTACGTTGTGGCGACTATTGGTCTACCTTCGTAAATTAACTCTAACTCGGTACATTGCCTAATTCAGTTTACTCTGCATGCATTTTATGTGTTGCTTATGTATTTTTTATTTCGTTATATTCATTATGATACTTAATAAATAATAGGTAATATATTATTTTTAGAGTAAGTTTAAAATAAGAAATGCAGACATTTTCTAAAAAGCGGGACTGTTCCGTCATAATCGGGACGTGTCGTCACTTCATAACGAGAACTTTTTTCCAACGCTTTGTAAACGTGGTCAACGTAACTTTCGAGCCTGCAAATCGAGGTGTCTGCGCAATCTAACACCTTTAATTGAAAACTGAACGAAAAACCGTTTAAAAGTAAAAAGTAAAAAAAAAACCTAGCCAAATTATCTTTTATTAATTTTTCTTTTGGGTGGCCATTGTTCCCGCCTGGCCACTGAAGCCGGACGTCCCCTATTTTAAAGCTAGTTTTCCGACCCAAACATGTTACAATAATATAAAAAAATACAAAATGTATGTTTGTCAGAGAAGTGAAATACACATTTTTCACACACTTGAAGTAACTGCTACTGTTCCCAGCATTTACTAAGGTTTTCGCTATCGTATGCCGAAAAAGCCGAAAAATCGGTCATCAAACATTCATTTAAAAAATATTGTATTTAAACTCTAGCTATTTATTCCGCAATTTGATCGTACTAAAAACAAAAAGAAATCCTTATTGATAATTTTTTTGCCATTAACTTCAAAATGTGATCTATCTTCGATATAGACACGCAATTTAGTAAAACTAACGAAAATCTGAATTCGGGTGCAGCTAGAAAAATAGCATATTTCAATATTCAAACAGCCTGCACAATCGATTTAAATCAGGTCATATATTTATGGATGATTGATAAAATGCAGTTTTTAAGTAAAAAAAATGTTCGCATCTTTCGAGAAAAAATCATAGAAGCAATGCCAAAATAATTAATAAATACAAATGCAACAAATTAGAAAACTGCCAGTAAGAAAAGCTTGAAGGGAAAAATACAAATGACACCAACACTTTATAAAAGCACACAATTACCATACTTTTAAAACTATCGTTTTATTAATATTATAGCTAAGCGAGTAACTAGCCAAGTAACAAAATCACTCAAGGTTTGTTAAAAAAATAAATAACTATATCTAAAGTGTTAATAAACATCTATAGCAAATTTCGCTGGAAGTATATTTTTACATAAAAATATGCAGTCGTAAATTATTCTGCCATTCGCTTTTTTTTTGTCGCATCAATGTTTCTGACATCCCTATAAAATTAATAACAGTAACTAACCAACGTCATCCAGCAAAATTATAAAAATATGAGAAAATCGAATTTAGCCCACAAAGATCTTTATCTGAACTTCAATGCAAAATGCATTTTAAGCTGTTTTATCAAAATTATATTCCTCAACTATTGGCCTAGGATGCAGTGGATGCTTCTTAACGCCATTTTCTTTGTACGTGGAGTAAAACATTTCTCCTTTTCGTTGCCTCGTATCGTCGTCTTTGGCTGAAAGAAAAAACGGAAATATTGCTATGGATTTCTAAATATTCCATACAAAGTTTAATTGAGTTTGACAAGATATCTTTACAACAAAAAGAAAAATTTACTCAATTAAACTAGGATAAAAATACCTTTATTTCTTCTTGATCTATAAGGCGAATCATTCATAGCCAGTAGCGGTTCATTGCCATCATCAATCGGACCATTAGCATCATTCAGCACTTTCAAAGCTGCAGCAGTTCGATTTTTCTTCTTTTTATTCTTGATTGGTTTGATTGGTTTTATTTTCCGTTTCCGGTCTGGTACTGTATGAGAGTTGAGAGGATAAATTTCTATGTGGAACGGATCGGACTTATCAGATGAATGTGGTTGACTTGATGGGGGATTCACAGGAGGATTCAGGAGGACATCATTCGAAATATCCGGGATCGGGATTTCGTTGAGTTTTTTACTTTCATATTGCTCCAAAAGTCGTTTTCTTGATTTATTATTGTCGATGGTCCGAAGTTTCTTTTGGCATATGTAGTTACGCTCTTGGTAGCAGCTTCGAGAGTTCCATCTGAACAGTTTGAATATAAATCATTATTTGATGGGAAAAACTAGGAATTAATTTTTTTACCGATACTGAAATGCTGGATCGATTGTTATGCACTGCCACTGGAGGCTTTCTTGAGTCTGGTTGAAAGAACTGTCAAATCCATTATATGTGAGCGGTTTTCCCGATGCCGCCCATTGCCATTGTTTCTTCTGCCAGTCAAAACGACCACCCAACCATCTCTCCAACGGTTCTAAAATAAATCAATTTGTACATACAACTACGGATGTCTCCTAAGATCCAAACAGTATTTTTACAATTACATATTTAGTTCTCCGTGTATTTATCACTATATAAAATAAAATAATGCAAACTACAACTAACAACAAAATATAGAACTCATGTTGAAACTAAAATTTCATACTCGACTTAAGACGAAAATCCAATATTCAGGTCTGCCAGTTCTGATTTGGGTCACTTGTAATGCAACCCTGTATGTATATGTATTGAATTTTTATCTGCAGTCGACTATGAAGGTTTAGCTTCAAGATGAGCTCGATATTTTGAAAATCGCTTCGATAGTAAAAATGTTATACTGCAAGACCAAAAAGTTCATTTTTGAGGTCACTAAAAAATTAACAAATCGTTTCGAGCTTCGAGGTCAATCTTTATGCCATTTATCATGAAATCCGTCAAAAACTTTTTTTTTTTCAAATTGGGAGAATGCCGAATTTTCAGAAATTTTGCTTTCAACGCTGTGGGAACTTTGTCTGTAACGCACCCACTGATTAAAAAATAATTGGACTAAAAAACGCTTCAAACAGAAATAATTGATTTCTAATTCGCTCGCAGCAATTAAAAGGTATCCGGTACTAAAGCCAAATTTGCTCTAAAAATTTGGCCGTGTAACGATTAATTTATTGGGCAGTGTAGTTTCGAAAAAAATGTCTAAATGTCTTAAAAACATTATTATTTGAAAAATGTACTATGTTTTATGACTTATAGTCCAAAAAATTATTCTTAAAATGTATTTAATAAACCAACTCGAATTGAACTGGAATTGAAGTTCCATTTTTGTCGATTATTTTAATACATAACTAATAAAGTTAAAAATCGCAAAGCATCTAAAAAGTCAACAATATTTTCTCAATAAGTATTTTTTTGATTTTAACAGTATGCGGACATTTTCTTACTTTTTATCCAATATTAACTAAATCTTATAAGTATTAAATATTCTAATAAAATTTGAATTGTATTCAAAAAGTGAGTTTTATTAATTGAATGAATTGAACTAAACTGCTCAACAAAATAAACGTTACACGGCCAAACTTGCCCTAACTTTGGAACGCGAATAAATTCTGACTGCTGCGAGGTATTTGATTTCTGTTTGAAGTGTTCTGTAGTACAATTCTGCTTCTTTCAGTCATGAGGTTTTTCGTAATGCTTTTGATGTTGAGATCCCAAAAATATATTTTTTGCTCAATTGGGAGCACACTAAACTTTCAAAATTTTGCATTGCTTTATTTGACATCATGTAGAAACTTTATCTGATGCACTAATTCTGTGGAAAAACACGGACTGAAAGGAGAAGAATTGTATTGAATGAAGAAATAATTTATTCGCGTTCCAGAGTTAAGGCAAATTTGGCCGTGGAGTGTTCATTTTGTTGAGTAGTTTAGTTGGTTTCGAAGAAACACGTTCTTTTGTACGCTCATTTTCTAACATCATGTATCAATAAAATTAAATATGAAACATCGATCATAACTTAATATAAAGTTTTTCAAACTACATTTAAAAAAATTCAAACTAACAATGAAAAGCTCTGAAAAATAGCTCATTTTGTACAAAAATGATCATTCATTTGCAGGTTGATTTGAGTGTGTAAAATACTTCATAAAATAAAAATGCCCATTGACTTCGGGTCACATTATATATACAATGAATGAGAAAATCCATATACTGTCCAGTTTAATTATATAGTTATTAGTAAAACTATGAAACTTTTTGTTAAAGAAAATGCAAGATTTTCAATTTTACACAAGATTCAGTTCCTTCATTCTGCAAATTTAGAAATTCCATTCAAAAACGTACATTTGCTGGACCGTTGGCTCCTGGGAGACATTTTCATAATACGGCAAACTTGAATGCTTCAGTGTTATATGCGAATAATTTTGAAGCAAGCCGTAGAAATTTGCAATTGAAAATCGGTCTTCCATAGTCAATTCTAATCTCTATCACCTACCAAACCTCCATATGGATATGAGATTTAAGCGCTGACTGAACGATTTACTTACTTAGCCTTATAGGGTCACTTTTAAATCGAGCTTTAGCGAGTTATCTATATTTATGATAATAAACTTAAATAAATTAAACACTTAAACAGCTTAAGAAACGAAAATAAACAACACGACTTACCAATCCCACAAAGTAAAAGGATTCCCAGCCCAAAAAGGAGAGTTCAGGTAGTAAATGCAAATGAATGAATAAATGGCATCAAGATATGAATATTTTCACGAATTCCTTGAATAATTACTCATCTAGTCTGGCATGTAAGTTAAGTGTTCAATTGTATGCAACTTGTGTAGGACTAATGAGAATTAGTCTGTAATCATAAGGAATAACTCTTTAGCTGCTGAAGGACGTATAATAATTGCATAGAAGAATATTGAAAAGGCTTAGCCAGCATTTGCTTTTATGTGCATAATAAACCCTTTAGTTCCCATTTATGAGTGGTTACATAAAATTTTAAAATTCTAGGATATTTTCTAAATTATTTAATTATTCTGGTTGTGCTGGCAGCCAGCAAGTTAAGTATTTTACCATTTGAAATATGAATTTTATTTTTTATATAAATCATAAATTCTAATCAAACTTACCAACAGTGCGACTGCTCAGAGTTTTCTTAATATGCTTATCTTGGTTACTGTTCTTAATGATAGCTAAGTTGCTATGCAGTGAACGACACTTGAAAAAAGCGTCATGAAAGGTCAGTTTTTCCTTGCTGAAGAAGTAACATTTGTGACTTAGTCGGATGAAATTTGGAGGACATACGTAGCTTCTTTGCTTAGCCGATGGTTTATCTAATGACGTCCCTGAAATTCAATTATAATTTACTTGTTTCATGTTTTATTCTAAATGAATAATTATACCGTAATCGATTTGAATTGGTTTGTTTAAATATTTAAAAAAACAAATATACTACATATTAACCAAACAAACAGTAATTTAAAAAATGATAGTTAACCGAAACACACCTATTATTGCATGAGTTACATAATAATATTCCTGAAATTATAGCCTTTTTCAGTACACAGAAGTAGATAATTAGCATAGCTAATGTTATTCCATGTCACCGATTTCAAAGAAAAACTCTAAAAATTAGTCAAGCTTAACTGTTTCCATCAATTATTTTTTCGCTTTGGTTTTTAATATGCAGTTCTGGGTAAATATTATTTCAGAAAACAAGCAAGCCTAATTGATTCGTTCCAGGCCAAAACAATATATATTTTCAAAATATCACATTGCACACTTACTTATATTTTATCTGCGTTAAGCAAATATATAAAGTTTAATGTATGCCATCTGGAATGCAAAACAGAAGTGACAATTTATAGCAAAATGTAAATTTTTAGTCGATTAAACAAGTATTCGTCCAAATATTTAAAATATGTTTTAATAAAACAAGGGAATTGCAAAATTCAAATATTATTTATCCAAATATTTGACGAAAACATGTCATGATTGGCAATAAACCAATAATGTAGTAACATACTAAGGTGGCAAACGAATTCGATCTGCTATTTTTCGAATCATTTTAATTAAGTATCATGTTTCGAAGCTAGTGAATTTTATTACTATATTTGCCTACCAATATTTTTATTTAAATTAACTGCTTCTATTGACCTTAAACCGAATTTCCGTATTAAAGTCCGAACTGATCAGAAAGGTGAAACAAATTTTAAACGACATGCATTAATAACAAACAGAAAAATTTTTAAATACAAGAAATAATTCGCATAATTTGAAAAGCAGTAAAAAGTAAAACAAAATTAATTTATTTCTTTTTTTGATAGTTAGCACATATATTAATTTTTCTGTTGCTTTAAAGCTTTCATTGTGGAAGATAGGATTGTTAAAAACATTCGAACACTAACTTTATTGGAATTATTAAGGAGTAATAGTAAATCCAGTAATAATAGATAACTTTTCTAGACAAGCGAACAACATTTTAAAACATTTATATATTATAATTATAATTTTTCAAAAACATTTCCGGAATTTCTTAGAAAAAAAATATAGCAGAGAGAGTATTACTTTCTTAGGTGACATAATAGAATTGAAAATGTTGAGAGCATAGAATGTTGCTTTTATTTAACTTAATTATCATATTATAAGTATATAAAACTATGTATAATCCTATTTTAGTAGATTATTACTTATATACTAATTTCATGCTTTTAACCTTCTGTTATGAGCATAAAATTTTACTACTTTTTAACCTCGCATGCACATCCTGCGCCTATAAAAAAGCGCATAATATGCAGCAGTGTTGTTTTACTTTTATGGATTGGACATACACAAATATCCATATCGTGAGCTAACAGGCGTTTTGAGAAAAAAATAACATTACTACTGACATTATCTAGAAAAACGGCACTTTGTTGTGTTTTTTATGGGTCATTTGCCCTGATTAGTAGTTGAAACGCATGCTCGTTTTAAATTGAAAATACAATGTCGTTACTAACCTGCTACCACTGTTAGTAGTACAAAAAAACTGCTCAAAATTCGTCGCATGATCTTCCCATAAGTCGCTCAGATTATGTGAAAACGCCTTTGGCTTCTCGATCTAACAGCTCCAATGGTTTACTTGAAGATTTTCTTCTAAAGTCATTTTCTTATAGTCACAACGACTTAAGGTGGAAAATACTAAACTCTGAAACAAATTAGAACTAATTTACGAAAAGCTATACACCATAAGTAATAACAAAAATTGTAATATTAAAAATCAGCTTGCGAATTGCGAATTGTTTCATGTGTATTTTGAGCCATTTTTAGTTGACATCAGGAAATATTCGCTTTACATGCAATTCAAAAATTAATTTACGAGGTATTTAAAAACCTTTAAATCTAAATTTTAAATCCCCCCGAAACATCGTCAAATTTTCGATTATGCCAAGGCAATTGGTTTAAAACAAAATTGGCAATTGTTAGCAAATGAAAAAATTATACAGTGTGATTCAACAACGTAACGTAATCAATTGCCTGGCGATTAAATTAGCTCATTGTTCTCCAAACGTAAAAATTTACAGATTTTGCTAAGATCGAAACTGAATATCATCAACTAATGAGAGTCAGTCAAATAATCAGTAATTAAAAGCCCATTCATTAAAACTCAATAAATAACCGGGAGTTATAGAGATTAACGTTTTCTTTATATGGTTCTAAAACATATACCAATATATGTGCTATTTTCTATCCTCTATATCTATTTTCATTTTTCAGTTTTCATTCATTTTTATTTTAGTTGTCTGTTGAAACTCTACTTCCAAAACTATAAATTAGATCAATTCTGGCAAACTTTTAATAAAAGACTGGCAACTAATTAAAAACTTAACTAAAGTCAAATAGAACAATTAAAATAAAAACTTAATTTTGCCCATTTGCAACGATAAACTACATAAGAAATTGTAATATTTTGAGTTTAGTATCTTGTAAAAAGTATACAGGATGTTTTCATGATAGTTTCACCAATCCTTTAGGTTCGAGTTACTCAATCTTACTGACACACTAAATATTTTATTATTTTTCTCATTTTTCATATTTGATATTCATATTCATTTTAAGTCCATTCAGCAATTCAATTAATTAGTTAATATTAAATCATCATCGAGATGTGGTTGAATTAAGAAAACGTGTACTGTTGAGAGGTCAACTGGTTAGTTAAAGATAAATAAGTTCGATATGGTTCGATAAGAGACACACACAACTTCCCATTTTAAAAAATTCAGACTTCAGAAAATTTGAAAACGTGAAACATATAATCAAACAAAAATTAAAAGCTGACGTTAATCTTAATGAACGCGCACAATTAGCATTTATATATGGTGAAGTTATGAAACTTTTAAACTTATTGTGTAAAGTCACCTGATAAGTTGATTTCCTCTGAAAATATTCAGCGCAATGATAATTTTTTCTAGCAAAAATTTTGAATTGCCGTAAAGTCGCCTTTTCACCTCTTTCCAGTCATATACCTATTTACAATTTTAAACATAATTTATTCGCGTTCCACCACTCCCTGAGCCCCATTATAATGGAATTACCTACTCAGAATCCCTAAAAATTTATGCACTTTTTTCAAACCCCAATTTTATACCACCACCCACCGCCTCTAAATCTACTTTTATCTCCAGTTTCTTAACCACTCTGTTCTGATTACTCTCAGCCCGTCTGATACTTTACCCAGACGCAAAAGTTCGTCATTGTAGGAAAAACATATTGATTAAATTAATAAATTAAACCTACCTACAGGTTTTTCTTGATACATTTTATTTGGTTCTAACGTCTGTTAAAACCCCATTTTAAAACATTGAAATACTCAATTTATGACTTTTGCCAAATGATCCTGATCAACTTTAATCTGCACGTTGAATAAAAACGATTTGCTTTAATTAATTTATTATACTAAACACATGTTTTGAAAATAGGCGCTACTACACTAACAGCAACTGGTGATTAATATTAATTAATGCGCTGATAGCGAATATCGTTAATAAATTGATTTCAATTAATTTTGTTTGTTTTGTCATAGGTATTTAAATACTACTTTAGTCTAATGTGAAATTTTGCCAGGATAGTATTTTCTTGATTTTATTCAAATTATAAATTTGTTAAAAATACTGCTGAAATAAGACACAACTGGTAAACAATTACTTTATTACAAATCAGATAGTTTCGAAATTGAAACGGAAATTCTTAAGGTCTTACGTATCATGCATTAAATTTATTGAAGTATCGGATTTCCGCGACTCATAAATTGGAAAAGCTATTCTCTAATTTTGAAAATAGCAATTTTAATAGGCATTACTCAACAAAGTACGTGTCTCTAAATATATCCACACAACCCGAAATATGATATTATACACTACGTGCATACTTGCGAACCGATATCACTTTAACAATTGGATGATAGTCAATTGCAATCTGATTTATGTTTCCAACCGATTCTATGGGCAAATGTTTATTTTCGGATTATAAAATTCGCAATATCAAGCACAAAAGTCTAAAAACATGAGTTATGATCCAAGTGCCAATCCAACCGATATCGAGTTCCCTTTCAATTACTGCTCAGTCTAAGTATCTTGAAAGCATGGCAAGTCCATTAATGTTATTTTATGGGGGGGTTTTTCAAGGAAGCCTTTTAGTTGTTTTCAGGCTAAAAATAACTATTAACTTTATAGCTGGCAATGGCAAAGTTCATAAAATTGCCTGAAGTTCTCTCAAAAACACACCAAAAGCGGTTTCGTTTTTCATTGTAATCTTCTTAGATAGTGCAGCTATAAATATAGTAAGTCGTAAATTTTTGGTAAAGATTTGGCAATGAGATTAAGAGCATATGATTTACAAACAAGATTTTTAGTTTCAGTACCCACATGATCTAAAGCTTCTTAAAATGTAATTTACAGTGTGAGTTTCTGTATGGAAAATTATCAGTAAATCAATCAGACTTTTTTTGAATTAGGTATGCTCGGTCCCGATGTCAAGTCTTGCAAACGGAGATTTCTTTGGGAGAAAATCAGTCGTATTACACGTTGAATGTGGCATTTCCAAATGTGAGCTTTTGTCCACTCAATAACGACAACTTCGATCCTTTTTCTCACCAGTTAACAAAAAGGTGGATTCGTTCATGAGAAGTTTATTATTGTGGGCATCTTCATTGAGCGCACTCTGCCGATGAAAAAATTCTTAAATGTCCAGTTTTGGGTAACAGTTTTTGAGTCTGATGTATGGTCCTTTGCGATAAGGGAAGAAAATTCGTATTTTTCGTATCCATAATTAAATATATTGATTTTGTCCTATCTCCCTAGCGAATCGTCATTGAAAATTAGGTTTTGTGGATTTCAGACAAGTTCGGTATTTTGGACAATTTTTCGTCTAGACACAACCATTAACAACGAAAAATTAATTAATATGTTCGCTCAATACATTATGTTATTCTTCTTGTTTTTATTTAACTTATTTCGCTATTCAACTTAATTTTCTGAGTTTCAGTCAGATGTTTTCATTATTCGAATTAGCTAATACTTTAAATAGCTTTTTACCGACAGATAGCAATAAAATGTTCGTGCCATAAAGGCCTTGGCTTTCAAAAATATTTCAAAAGTTTTTAAAAGACAAGATATCTCATAATTAATAGCAGAAATAGTTTAAGTTACATATTTTTGAGTTTAGAAGATTGATTGATATGCGCATTACAGTTATAGAAAAATTTCAATTAAAATTTAAAAAATTAGTCGAAGCTTGAAACACGCTGTATTTTCATACATTAAGAAGAGCGCAATTTGAAAATTTTTTTTTTAAATAAACTTACAATATAAGCTTTAGACTCTATGGGTTTTCAAACTAATATACGTATTTTCTAATCACATGCTTTTAATCACAGTTCCAAATATTTCGCCCTTACTGCTTAAATTACTTAGGTTAAATACCAGAAATTTTCAAAAACAACTAGGTTTTCTTAAATAATTATTTGTAAACATCCAAGAAACGTGATTAATATTAGATTACCTCCCTTCAAAGTAACTTGGTTATATAAAAAACAAATAATTATAAAATATTTTTGGTAGACCAATGCAGCAGCGAAAAGTCTTAATTTATAATTAATTCTGGAGTATTGATATTTGAAACGGTTTGTTTCCGCCTTAAGTTAATGTCATGTCCTGTTTACAACGAATGTTCAAAAACAACTTCAAACTGCAGTCATGCGAAAATGATAATGAAAAATAGCTTTAACAATGGTTTATAATTAAATACTCGTTACAGTAAAGTAAGAATTCAAAGAAAAACAACACATTCAATCAGCATTCTTGGATTTGTGGTTATTTTTAGAAAGAATATACAGCTATGTTTTGTGAGGCAATAGTATACGATAGACTTCGCCATTAATCAGACTTAACATTTAGTTTGATGCTATTGGAAGAGTCGATAATTCTTAATAAATCAGAGCGTATCCTTGAGAGTAATATATGTTGATTGTTATTTCAAAAATTATTATGAATTGCTTCCTTTTAATATACAAGGTCCGGAAAATCTATCGATAACAAAGACAGCAAAGCCTAAATCCGCTTATCCAGAAGTACTTCCCAAGAAGAATGTGGCTTTTCGAGCATGGAAATTTTACTTGAAATTTTTACCTATTTACACTGCGGTTTATCTAAAAAGACTAAACTCCTACTAAACTACTTGATGTAAAAACTAAAAACGGTATTACAATTTAAAAATGTAACGAGGTCGACTGATTTTTTGAATACATTTTTCTACCTTCTACTTTGAGGTATTTTTAGGGTCAAAATCATAAACGCCAGCAGTTTTATATAATAATGAATAGCAATACTTACTTATTTACTTAATACCGAATTATTTAATAATAGTGTTTCGAATTGGCTAAAAATTTCAGAAGACGAAGGTTAGCAAACAAAAGTCAAACTTTGATTTACCCATTACCCATTACCAAATAATTTTATTCAGTTTTTTTACCAAAAGTAATTAAGGCTATCTTAAAAAAACGACCAGGGAGGAAAAGTTTACAAAAAAGTTTCTTCAAATTTTCAAGTCATTCCAGTTTTAACAAAGTTTCCATTAAGCAATTCTTTCTACGCAAAAATCGCATTATTTTTTACTTACTACTTACATACATTATAGTTTTCCGTAAAATAC